GGCGGGGGGGGCGCAGCCTCCAGGGCCCCGCCCTCACTGGTGGACCTCATTTTCTATGAGGCTGTCCTCGCATGACTGGAAGTCCGTGTCCGTGAGGCCATCCGGGGGCATCAGCAGCTCCTCATCTTGGGATGAGGACGACGGGGGTTCGTCCCCCGAGCTCCCAGGAGCCCCGTCCCCATCCCCGTCCCCCTCTGAGTCCTGCAGCACCTGGGCGATGTACTTCTGCGGGGGAATAAGCAGGTGAGGGGTAGGGATGAGGGCGAGGTCCCCAGGCCCCCGCCTGGGGTCTGGAACAGGCTGCCCCAACTGGATGACTAACAGGGTACCCGGTTTTGGAGCCAAGTCTGTCAGGCACCCCATTCCTTGGCCTGGGAGTGGAACTCACCGCAGATTTAGGGACGGCGGCAGCAGTGGGGGGCCGTCCATTGCTTCTGGGGCCCACGGTGTCTGTCTCCGTATGCTCAATCTTGAGAGAAACAGCAGGCCGGGCATTGTGGGCAGGTCCCCGAGCCCCTGGGCCTCCTGATGCCTGGCAGCCCGCCCTGGCCCCCACCTTATAGTTGTGGGCACTGAGGTATTTGAAGTGTCCAAAGCAGACGTGGCAGAGGCAGATGACGATGGTGATCACCAGGACAACGAAGGTGAACATAGACGTGGGGGCGAGGAACCCTGGTGTGTGTGCGGACAGAGGACAGGGCTGCCATCCGGGCGCATGGCCTGGCATGGCGCCTTCGCCGTGGCATCTCCAGGCCCTCCCGACTCCACCCTGTCCCCAGCTCTGGAGGCAGCAGTGGCCTCACCTGTGCGCATGGTAGAGAAGAAGAGCAGCCAGAAGAGGCAGAGGATGGGCGCGGCCACCACCTGGTTCACAGCGCCCGAGTGGATCTTCTTGTCCAGCTTGGCAGGCAGGTAGGCGTAGTAGAGGTTATACCTGTCCACCAGGTGTTTCAGCAGCATGTACATAAGCCCTGGGGAAGCCACATGGCCCTGACCTCGGAACCAGCACGACAGACCGTGGTGTCGGGCACAGGCTGCCCAGACCTTCTGTGGTCACCAGGCTGGCTGCCCACCTGGGCTGCCCCTTCCCAGCCCGAGACAGCACGGAGCTTGGTAACCCCAGCATGACCACAGGGCTTGGGCCTCCTCTGCCTGGCCAGGAATCCTGCCACCAGAAATGGCCCAAACAGCAGGGGGCCCCTGCAGCCTTCCTTGCTTCCCTCCACCCTGACTCCCCACAGATGTGCCTAAGTTACTCCATGGCTCTATTTCCCTGCGGCTGTGGGAGCTTCCAACAGGGCAAGGTTAGTCTGGGAATCTGGAACCTTCGCTGGCCAGAGGGTGGTTACACTAGGGTCAGGATGTTACAGGGAAAGCAGAGGCTGAAGTGGGGAACAGTTAGCAGCAAACTGTGCGAGATGCCCAGAGAGAAAGGAGAGGACCCTGCCCAAGTCACACAGCTTGGTTATGGCAGGATAGCTCTGTGCACTGCGGGGATGCATCCCACCCCGGCCCGGGGCTTCCCTGTGTTTAGGGGCCATGTGCCCTTGCAGTGCCCTGTGGGAGTGGGAGTGTGTGTGAGGTCACATCAGTGGCTGTGCGACATTACTGGCAGTGTGATATGTCACGGGGTGGCAACATCGGTGTGGTGGTCAACAGGGCCATGTCGGGGTGGCTTTGCCAGGGACCAACACACTGGGTGGGTCCAGCCTGAGCTGAACTTCTCCCCCGCCTCCCAGGCCAGGCCCCAGACTGGGCTAGGAACCGGGCGGGAGGCCGAGGGGACGGTCTCCCAGCCGGGCCCTGTCCACTCAGGGCGGCCTCCTTCCTAGGATGCTGGGCAAGGCCCCGGGTCCCCCTGAGCAGGGCCCAGGTCCCGGCGCGGCGGCGCCTACCGAAGGGCACGATGATGGGGCAGGTGATACTGTAGGTCATGACCACCGTGAAGACGCACATCATCCAGGCGTAGGCAGCGCCGAACTGGAACTCGTAGGCCTGATGCTGGGGGGGACATGGGCGGGAGGGGCTCAGAGCACAGGGGACAGGCTGTGGGGCCAGGGCAGCAGGGAGAGACCAGGAGCTCTAGAGGGATCAGGATCGGAGCCGGGAGCAGCAGGGTCCTAAGGTCTGGGGTGGGGAAGGCAGGAGAGGCTGTGGCCAAGGGGAGGTAGGCAGGGTCGTAATGGGGGGTTGAGGGCCTTCCGGGCAAGAGTGCAGGAGCAAGAGTGGGGAGATCGTGGGCAGGGGACATCCAGGGCCCTCTTGTGGGGTCAGGACACAGGGACCTAGAGCTAGGTGGCCAGAACCTCTCCCAACTCCCAGCACAGAACACTACCCTGTCAGAATCGGGGACCTCCAGGGCCAGCTCTGTCAACCACAGCTATGCGTATGGGAAAAGCAGGGTCCCAGATGAGACTGGGATGAGGGCCACAGAAGCCGGGTCCCCAGAGTCCCAGCACCTGAGTCCCTAAAGAGCCCAATGACTGCAGTTTCCCGTCACGCCGACAGAGGGCGCCTGCAGGCCGCTGTGCCGGGGCGGCCATACCCGCTTGACGTTGCGTCTCTCAGCAGCCGAGCGAGCCAGGCACAGGCGGATCATGTACATGAGCAGGCCTGGGATGCGCAGCAGGTCCATGGCGTTACCAATGAAGGCCGAGGCAATGACGTAGTTCACGAAGAAGGCGCCGTTGTCCGGCAGGAACACACACCTGTGGGCACCGGGTGCTCCAGTGCCACACCCCGGGGGACCCAGTGGCCAATGCCATTGCCACCAGCTTCACCCTC